TGGACTTTACCCTGTTTTTACATGTCCTCTCCAGCTGTGTGGCAAATTCCAGCTAAAAAACAATAAATTAATAAATAAATGCCAAGCAGTTTATTCATGGAGGTAAATAAAAACCAAAGTCCAAACCCGTGTTGATCGGTCCTCTGTCTTTCCTCTTGCTTTGACTCTGTCTCTCTGCAGGTATGATGCTGGTACTTTTGGGGACATTTGGCCTCTGGGTCGTGTCACCCTAAGTCTTCACGGCCCGTTTTTAACAAACCCTGCGTTGGCTGCAGCTGTGCTCAACGACGTGTCCTACCCTGAAACTCGGCTCACTCTGTCAGATCTCCATCTGGCTCAATATGTGTCTGTCCAGCCTTTGAAAGATTCAATCAACCTGATCAGGTTTGATAATAACCTCCCTTTTTGCAGGTAGAAACACTTAAATGGAGCAAAATGTTTATGAAACGTTAATTCTCCTTTGGTTCTTCTCTCCAGATTTCTGTCTCTCCGCAATGTGTCGCTGTCCGATGAAGCATGCGTCTCTATGCTGGCTCTGATCGACGGCGTCCCGCTCAGATCCCTCTCCATTGAGGGTTTAACTCTGACAGGCGAGGGCAGGTAGGAAACCAACAGGCCAGCTGTTCATCACCGCCCAGATGTTTTAGTCCAAACTTTATCCATCCATCCATTGTCTGTACTCAGTCATCCTTGAAAGTTTGTAGAGTTCATGGAGTCTCCCTTCAGCAGAGCAAGAGTCTGACATGGAAACACAGACAAAGAACAAACAATCATCAACATACGGAGAACTAATGGTGACTTAGGGACACCAGTTAACCTGACAGTCATGTTTTTGGACTGTGTGAGACAGTCAGAGAACCAAAGCTGGGATTCAAGTCTCTTACTGGGTCACATTTCAAATCAATACTAATTCCAATCAGATTAATAATGTATGAATAATTCTGACCTTCACTGTTCTTCCAAACCTGAGTATTTGTCATCTGATGTGGCTAAAGCCTTTCCCGACTCTGCGTCAGGTGGGTAACGGCGAACCGGACCGATCTGAGCAGCATGGACGAGTTCTTTGCCAGTGACGTCACAATTTTAGACATTTTGAAGTTCGCCATGGTTTCAGAGCTGCAGTATCTGTTGCAGTACCAGAAGAAGCTCTCCATTATTAACGCAAAGGTAAAAATCACACTTCAATGGTGGTAATGTGAATCAGGCTGTGATGCTTTTCATTCTTAAATCATAGTTTCATCATTTTTCATCTTATCATTCATGTTAACCAAACAGCATTTTATTTTAAATTCATGATTTTCTGTCATTGTGAGAAGAGTTCTGTATTTTTGTGTGGTTTTATCCAAAATCACATTAAAATAAATGTTTAAAATTAAGAAATGTTTTCCTCACAGCTCTGCTCTCATTTTATTCCAGTTGTTCCTGTTATCCTGTTACTTAACCCAGATGATGGTGAACACGTTGTACTTGGATGTGTCCGATAATCTGCTGACCGACCTGACTCTGTCTTACATGCTGTGTGACGGCGACAAAACTCTCCCGGAGCTCAGAGTTTTAAACATGAGCGGAAACCTTCTGAAGGTGTCGATGTTAAACCTGAGGTCAAATTTGTGTAAAACTGCTCAGAGCGCCAACCTCTGAACGTTTGTCTGCTTCTTGCAGTCTTTGTCCACGTTGAGCCGTCTGGTCACCAAGCTCACCAAGCTCAGCCAGCTGGATGTCAGCAGAACCGGCTACAGCTCCATGCCCCCCAGTTGCTCCTGGCCGTCCACCCTGGGGTACCTGAACATCTCCCGGGCGAAGCTGACCATCGTCACGCCCTGTCTTCCAAAATCTCTGGAGGTACAGAGACCAGAAAACCTTCCCACTGAAAAGATGCTTTCTATTTATCTCCTTCTTGCTTCTTTAAAGGTGTTGGATTTAAGCTACAATGATCTCAAAGAATTTGCGTTGACTTTGCCAATTCTGAGAGAGCTCCACCTTTGTGGGAACAAGTTTCTGAGGTTACCAGCAGGGGGCGCATTCCCCAATCTGCAAACACTCATGATTCAGGTAAAATCCCATCATCAGTTTGAGTCTCTGTGCTCTCCATGCTGATCCATTTTGGTTTCGTACATTTCAGTCAAACACCCTGAACGCCTTCAGCCTTTCAGACCTTCAGTCATATAGACGACTGGAGAACCTCCAGGCGGGACACAACAAGTTCGTTTGCTCCTGTGAATTCGTCGCATTCCTCCGCTCACAGCTGACAGGAAGCGGAGATGTGAAAATAACGGACAACCATCAGACCTATGTCTGTGACTCGCCTCTCTACCTGCAGGGGGAGGCAGTGAGTCAGGTCAGCCTCTCCATCATCCAGTGCCAGCCAGTTCTGTGTGTGTCGGTCAGCTGTGGGGTCGCACTGGTTCTGGGGATTCTGGTGGCCGGCCTGCTCCGGCGATGCCACGCGTTCTGGTTCCTGAAGATGACCTGGGCTTGGCTGAAGGCCAAGAAACGTTCCCAACGACGGCGGCGAAACAGAAACACGGAGGGATCGGATCCATTGCTGTCCTTTGATGCGTTTGTTTCCTACAGTGAACAAGATGCCAGCTGGGTGGAAGAGTTCCTGGTACCTGAGCTGGAGGAGCCCAGGTAAAACGTCTTTCTGTTTCCACGTTGCTTTGGCTCTTGTATCATATCTCAACTGAATGGGTTCATGTAAATTTTGATTTATTTTAATGGTTCAGACGCCTTCACTGAAAAATAACAAGTCTGTCAGTGAACATGTCATACTGCTGTGATACTGAAGCAATAGGATGTATGAAGCCACCTTGTAAACATTGTTTTTTGTCAGATAATTAAATTATATACTGAAATTGATCTAAACAAGCACAAGTTTCCTTCTTGCTCACGATGTAAAAGTTTCTTTCTAATTGTAAAGGCTTGGACTTTACAATTAACCGTCTGTAGATCCCAAGTTAGTATTTTAGGGCTCTTGGAAGCTTCCTTTAGCATCCTGCGGTCTGTCCTGAGGTAAACCTGCTAAAGGGATCAGAATTGGTTGGTAGTTGTTTCTCTATTTTTAGACCATATTCCACAAAGGCATCATGTTTGCATTCTGTTGAAACTTCTTAAAATCCCGTTAGACTCAGAAGCTGCAACAAATATCGTTCCAAGTTTTCCTTGGTGAGCTGCTTGGCTCTCATGAAGTTCAAAATGCTAAACAAAGGGTCTCCTAGCATATATTCACAGGTTTTAGATGCTTCCCTGGTCCCTGGACTTGTTATTGAAATTGTATTTCTAATAAAAGACATAAGATGACTTGGATTCGTCTCTGGTTACAGGGACTCAGACTCTGAGACTCCAACATCCCCGTTGACTCTCTGCCTCCACAAGCGAGACTTCCTTCCTGGTCACTGGATCATGGACAACATCATGAGCGCCATAGAACGCAGTCGTCGTACTATCTTCGTCCTCTCCGAGAACTTCGTCCAGTCCGACTGGTGCCGCTATGAACTGGACTTCTCCCACTTCTGGCTGTTTGAGGCCGGCGGAGACGCCGCCATTTTGATTCTGCTGGAGCCGCTGTCCAAGGACGACGTCCCCAAACGGTTCTGCAAACTGCGCAAACTCATGAGCTCCACCACCTACCTGGAGTGGCCTGAAGAGGAGGAGAGGAGGCCGGAGTTCTGGAGGAGTCTCCGCATCGCTCTGACCGGAGACAATGAGCAGAACTAACAGATAAAACCAAACGAAGAAAGACAAGAACTTACAGCTACTGTCAGACAGTTGATAATGTACCTAATAAAGACCAGATGGATCCCTGCATGTTGGTCTGTTTTCACTGGACTAGAGATATAAATCCCTTAAGATTTATCTGTGGCCAAAATGGATCAAAACACTAATTTACCTGAATCTGACAAGTCTAAGTTGAATAAATAGTACGGAAATGAACTTCTATATATTTGAAACATGAAGATATGAAGAATTTGATCGTCTGCTGCTGATTGGATCTGAAGGTGTTCAGCAGGTAAACAGTGAATCATTTTATAGGAACTCAACAGAAACTGACATCAAAGCAGTGAATGTTTGAAATGTTTTTCAAAAAACAATCAGAGTTTAACAATAGAAACTGAAGAAACGCTGAATAAAACAATAAAAACACCATAAATAAAACCAAATAAAATCAAATAAAACAAACTGAAAGTATAAATAAACATGGCAGTGAAACATTTTAATGTCATGAATAAGTTTCTCCAGTCCTGCACATAAAACAGCCTCCATGTTTGGAGCAGGAAGCAACTCTGTTGACTGAAGATGAAAAAACAACTCAAAGTACAGAAAACTGATCATTTTATTGATCTGATATGTTCCTCTCTTTACTAATAATCAACAATCAAACCAAATATTGCTCCTGCAGACATGAATGATTCTTGGATGTTACTCCTGGATCATCTGAACCGTTTATAAAGGCAGCTCTGAGTTTGGCTTTAGATAATTAACATATATTTATAAAACCTTCATCACATTCAATGTTTTACATTCTAACTGTAGATTTTTTTTCCTGTGAAACTGAAGAAAAGCATCATTATTAGGGACACACTGATTGCAGTTTTCTGGCTTATTGTCAACCACAAATAAAAAAACAAAAAAAAAACCCCAAAAATCACCTAACCTTTTGATTCCAAGTTTGGTCAATGTCAATAAAAAGTCACTGGTGACTCTTTCAGACACGATTGGTAAGAATTGGTCCTCAGTCATGGCAGAGCAAACGAGGACAGTGGCAGATTTTTAGACCTTTTCAGAGTTGGATTAGATCAATTAAGATCACCTTCACATGTAAGTATCGACCGATCACCAATCAACCAATCATCAATCGACCAATGTTACGGAAATCAGGCCCAGTTAATCAATGCACCTGATGAACAGATTCGCTTCTGCTCTCTGACCCAACCACATGTGGTTAAGTTTTATTAACAGCTTTATTGGTTATTTTAAACCCAAATAAAACTGTTAAAAAATACAAAGCGTGGCCTGATGGGTTTAAATAAGAGATTTTGAACTGGGAGTATGATATAGATTGTCTAAAATCTATCTTTGAGATCTATCCATCAGTTGTAAGAAAAGCTTTCTGCCTCTTTCAGCATCCAAGCAACTTCTAGTCTTTACATATCGTTTGTGTGTCTCTGCTGCAATCTATTGATCAGGAAATCTCAAAATGCTGCCAAACTAAAAGATTTAAGTTGCAGCAGCTTCTTTCCAGCTTCTTTAGACGATGCCATGAAGGCTGCAACTGGCCACTGTTCACCTCGACAAGAAATATTGTGAAGTTTAATCTGAGATCTCATACAACAAAACCTTTCTTCACCATTATCAATGGGGCATGCTCCGACTCAGGACCGAACAGCAACCTGGTAGCGTAATCATTATCCAATACTTCCTGCCTAATTCTTTCCAACAGCTCCTTTTCTCCTCTTTCCCTTAGATTGCTCACAAACATTTTAAATATTGTGGAGCAAGACCAGGCAAACTCAATGACACCGATTTTAAACCGTGGAAACCCATAATCATACCCTCCAGTGTGCAGCCCAATAACGAGGCCGTGTTCATCAATAACTGGAGAACCAGATGTTCCACTACGCATGGGACATCGGTAGGTTACGACCTCTTTTTCTATTATTCCATTTTTCATTATGTCACCAATGCCTTGATCTATGATAATCTGTTTGACTGAGTTCTGGGTGAAACACAAGCCGTTGTATTGAGCTAAATGATCTTTTACAGCATCCTCCCTGCTTCCTTCCTCGACAATAATTGTGCATCTGGTGGTTTTCTCTCTCCCTGCAGGGAAACCAATAATCCAGACTTTACCGCTCTTCGGCACCGGACCGAGTCTCTTAAGGAGTCCTGGTGGAAACTTTACTTTCTCTGCTGTTGGGTCTTCAGGTATGAGCTTTAAAAAGGCGTAATCCGGCTCTTTCTGAATGTCAAGAAATATTTTCTCCACAGTGTACGACAGGTTCACAGTTTCTAGTTCAAAAGCAAGAGAAACTTTTATGCCATCCAGCAACTTTCCCTCAACCATACAATCTCTGAACAGATGTGCGTTTGTCAAGATGATGTTGTCACACACCACAAAGCATGTTCCCTGGGAAACATCATGCACAGAAATTTTGCAAACAGATACCTCTATTTCTTTCATCAGACTTAGAAACTCTTTATAACTCGGATTTGGTGCTTCTAGTTTACAATGGCCTGGCGGCTCATCTGCCTTCAGTCCAATTTTTTCACTTTCACTCTCTACGTCGTTCTGTTCTGGTTTATTTGTTGGAGAATGTGCTTTATATTTGGTTGAAAAATACATGTCGACCCTGTTTCTGGGTGGAGAAATGGACTCTGGGCTTTTATCAGACCGCTGTGCATTCAGGTCTCGTTTCAAGACCTTTTCTTCCGTCATCCTCTCCGTCTTCTTAACACCGGGTTCACTGGATGTGTTCCAGGATTGTCCAGCTGAAAAGCACAGTTAGAGTTCTCATTTCATGATTTCCAGGCGACATGTTGAACCTTCCTTCCCTTTCTACTCACCGGACACCTGCAGCCATCGGTGTCGCTGATTCCCAGAGGAGTCTGTTTGATGCTGCAACACATTGCAGGTCTTAGATTCTTGGCACCAAGTACATTTTAAAACATTTGAGCCTCAGTCTGTTGTGTTTATGAACTTCTATTTTTAAGTGAAACAAATCATGCAAGTTTTATATTTGAACTTAAATGTGTGAGTTTGTGTTACAGTGGTAAGTGGTGTTAACATTTTGTCATTCATCCAAGAATTCAGTAAACAAGCGTTTTGCTACACATCTTCATGCAGCTTCTCCTTTTTCTCAAAAAAGAGAAAGAAGGAGCCGTCGCCCCTCATGAGTCAAAACATTGGTCACGAGTCTGTGGTTCTTACATGAACTTGGGTGGTTTGTGTTGGTTTTCAGACATAAATAAATGTAGAATATTGTTGATTATTTTATTTTTCTAAGGAAACAAGCTCTACAAACCAACTGGACAGCAGCAGAACTTTTCAGCACTTTCCAACATCTGCTAAGAGCCTATAAACAGTAAATGAGTTGTTGAACACGCCCCGACCACAGGAATGAAAAATATGTCCTAAAGACAAAAACGGGATGTTACAGCAGAACCTGATATGGACTCTGACTCCGACTCTGTCCTGAAGGAGTTGACGTGAAAGATCATTTCTGACGAATGTCTCAGAAATCAAACAAGAGTAAATTGATTTGATCTCACCTGATATTATAATGAAACCATATCATGCAGCTCTAATATAAAATGCTTTATGAACACAGAGTGGTGGTTGGACGTCCATATAGAGAGAGGATTTAACTTTTAAAGGGAAAAGAAATAAAATACGATGTGAGGAAATAAATGCCGAGCCATATTTCCTGGAGAAAATAAATTATGAGTGTGAAGCACTGATGTATTGGTGGCAATGAAAAATATAGAAATAGAAAAAAGTTACATAAAATCACAGACACAAAGATTTAAGGGCCTGCGGATCTCCTCTGAGGCTCGTTGCATAAATGCAACAAATAAACAACAAATCTCTGTAATATTTCATTGGTCAGAGGGAAATTATTCCCCATATGAAGCTAATAAATTGTAATTATGGTTTTTATGAGCAAGCGCAGCAGAACAGCTGACAGCTGCTGGTCTAAATGGAGGCAGAAAGACCTTCAGCATCTTCTGAACCTGCAGCTCACCTGGATGCTTCGCTTTTTCTTAAGTGGACTGGAGACTTCATCTGGACCGACCTGATGAGCAGAACAAAATATTAAAATAATAATAACCAACATGTGCAGCTGCTCATTAATCCTTTACATTTATGTTATAAATGTTAAGAAATGATGACAGAACAACCAAAGTCTTACTCACATTTTCTTTGTCACAGTCGCTCTTGTTGTCCGTTTTGTTTATTGTTCGCTTTCTTTTGGCTGATGTCTTCATCTGTCAACACAAAAGTAAAACTTGAGTTCAAGAACTGACATATAAGTAACTTCAATCAAAGCTTTTAGTGGACAGGGACTCACCGTGTTCTCCTTGTGAGCAAGCAGCTCTTGTGGTTTTAAATCCTGCAGCTGAGAAGTTGAGATGCTTTGCAACTAAAACAAAAAGATCAACATTCAGGTCAGAGTGTGTTTTATCAGATCTGCTGCAGTGTTAAGATAAAACTTCTTTTTATTCTGAGTCTGTTCTCAACAGTGCAAGCAGCATTAGCCAAATCAGAAGAGCATCAGGATAGGATGTCCCAAAATGAAGAAAATTAGCACCAATTAACCAGCTGGCTGATAAATCGGTGCATCCTGAGTCTGCAACGAATAATGCAACACTGATGTCACATATGTTACCATTGTGACAGTTTTTCTATGCAGTGGAGGAAAGATGGCTGCTATAGAGAAGTTGTTTTGTTGTTCAGATGCTTTTTGTTTGTTTTCACAGCTCCAACATGATGAGCTGCAAAGGAGAAAGAGCCTGGAAGTCAGCAGTTTTAAACCAGCTGTCCCTCCTCTTGCTATGCTAACAGGCTATTTAAAAGGAGCTCAACTTCTTTATCTGTCCACACAAACCAACCGTGGGACGCCATTTTCATTTCCTAACAGGACGTAGAGGTTAGGCTGCGACCCCTGCAACCTGACCTTGCAGAAGTGGAAGATGGATGGATGGATGGTTGGATGGATGGATGGATGGATGGATGGATGGATGGATGGATGGATGGATGGATGGATGGATGGATGGATGGATGGATGGATGGATGGATGGATGGATGGATGGATGGATGGATGGATGGATGGATGGATATGTGCCGCTGATGTAAGGCCCACCGGGGATTTCCCATCATCTTGACATTTGACTTTATTTCACCTTTTTCAAAATTTCACACAGGTGAATATTAAAGAAATGAAATTTGTTGCAAATATGCAACAGATGTTACAATATTCATAAATACTAAAGAACTTCTAAGCTCTTCCTGTTAAAAGCAGCAAACTGTTTTCTCCAAACTAATTATACACAATATGAGTTTGTCTTACATGTAATCATCTCTTATGCAGATATAACTCAGCTCCATGCTATTCTGTAATAAACATGTATTTACTGAGATTGTTCTGCAGAGTTGCATCATGCACTAAAAAGTCAAGAAATGAAGTAAAAACCAGACAAACCTAAAAGTTGAAGAGAAAAGATCAGCGGCGCCTTTAAATGAGATGAAAGGAGGATCAAACAGTTTAAATAAACAGTTTAAATGCCTTCAGTTGTGCAGCAGAAACCCGGTGCGTGTTGCTCTTCCTCTTCCTCTTCCTCTTCCTCTGTCAACACATCTGAAGGTTGAGGAAAAGGCGCCAAACGTGCTACATTCAGGTGCATCTGGGAATTAACAGTTTCCCTCTTCAGCCAGATTAGGATTAAACGTCACAGCTCTGAATTCCTGCATTTCATTTTTCTTCTTAAAATATCACCAGCAAAAACATCACTTTGTTCATGAAACGCAGCTTTAAGTCTTAAGAACTTTATGATTGTTTTTCTTCCAACTCTTTAAATGTTTACTATTATTATTACTATTATTACTTCCAACGAAAGCAAAATATTTGTATTCATTGTTTATTTCGTTTTTTAAAACGTTACTGTTGATAAATAATAAATTATATATTTTTTAAATAGAATAATTATATAACTTTAACTTTATCTTCTCTTCCAGCAGTTTTGCTGTTCACCTGCAGTTTAACTCTTCTCTTGCCGTGTGCAGCTTTGTCCACTGGATGGCGCTGTTGAGTCAAACATCTGACTAGATAAAAGTGTTGGAATGAAAAATCTCAAGTGTTTCTTCAGGTTCTGGTATTTTTCTGCTGTTCTGCTGGATTTTAATAACTGGAGGATATTATTACTCTTATCTGGACATTTGATATGAAATCTAGATTAAATGACAGAAAAAAGCAGCTTAAACTTCTCATATCAATCAGTCTGATCAGCTGTTTTATTGGTGGCTCTGTGACCTGCTGCACCTGTTACCTTCTGTATTTTAAAACCTGAACACACATGAAGCTTCCAGCACCTTTTCCTTCTAGTTAGCATGTTTATTTGGTTCTGTTTGGAAAGAAATTTCAGAATTAACAACTAAACTAACAATTTACCAAGAAAAGGAGCAAATCTGTTACCTAAAGCTGAACTTCAGACAATATTGATATCAAGTCTTTTCAAACATTTCCCAGTTCATTTTCAAACTTTTCTAATAGAAATAGAAATGATTGAAATAACACAGTTTAAATTCACTATAGTATATTTTATTACTTATTGTTATCAATAACATCTTGTTGTGATTTTCTGCATTCTGAAGCAGAATGTAAATTAAAATACAACATTTACTAATTGAAGCTAAAATCAAATCCTAGATATTTTGCTGTTCTTTTTCAGAAAATATATTAAAAACAATCAACGTGTCGCCGTAGAAAATCTATATAAATATCTACAATATCCCAATTATATTTCTCCTAAAGGTCCTCTCTGAAACATTAAATGATTTAGTAAGTTAGTTACTAACTGCGTGTCTCTGTTTCTGGGTTTTCACTTTCATTTGAACTGCATCAGCTCCAAAAACAGTAAAAATGATTTAGGGAAAACTCATTTTTAACCTGCTGCAGTACTCAGGTCCTCCACCAGAGGGCAGAATGACTTAGACTCAGCAGTGAAGAAGGGTAGAAATAATCTGATCTGTTCTGAGACAACACTGGATTATATTATATGAGATATTTATGAGATTATTTGTGTGATTCACAGGTTTAACTAACGATTGTTCCTCTAAAGATGTTCTGGTTCTGGATCAGTGAAAGTCCAAAGAAAACCTCTGGAAGATCTTCAGAAAACCTGGAACAATGAATGTTTGCTGTGCAAATTAAATAATCTACTATTTATTTTGAAAAGTGGAAGTTATTATGTTATTTATTTTGCTTTTGCAGTAACACATGACAGAAACATCAGCAATGAAACATTACAGAAACCAATACGTGTTCATTTAAAGTACAGCTATGAAACCTGATTATTAACTACAAGTTGAAGGAACAGTCAAAGTAATTCAATAGAAACATTATTACCATGATAGTCAAATGACATACATACAATTTAATAATCATTAGGCACTTAGAGTCAGTTAAACATACCTTAACATTTAAGAAAAGTTTCCTATATGAGGAATCTCATCTGATTGTTTCCTGTTGCTTCACACAACAGGAAGTAACTTTATACATCACACTTTAATCTGGATGCTAGGTTATTATTATCTCTGGGTTATTATTAAACACAAACAAAACATTTATTTAAATGGATCAGAATAATCAGACCAAAGAAAATATTTGTTGCAACACATTTTTACTTGAATAATAAAAATAATCCAGTTCCAGAAAAGACCCAACATTCAGACTAAATTCAATCAAACTATTATTTCAGAACATGTGTCAAACTCAAGGCCCGGGGGCCAAATCTGGCACACGGTAGCTTTTTATGTGGCCCTCCAGATTCACTAAATGCAGTTTTTATGTTTACTGCCAAATTATATCAATCAGTCCAGTTTCTTGAGAATTATGATGAACATTCATGCAAATTCAACAAATATTGTTTGTGCTCATGAATAATTGGGAGTTTGTTGCAGATTTTTATCAAAAATTGTCAAAAACTTTCTGACTTGTACTAAACAGTCTGAACTGATGTCAAATTATAATCCATGATCCATACAAGAAATCACATTTACCATGAAAAATAAGTGCAAATGTTGCAAATATTTCCAAATTAGTAAAACACTTTTTTATTACAAAATATCATAAAGTTTATCACAAAATCCTGGAGGGACTGAAAATCTGTTTGATGATATTTAATTGTAAGAATTTATTGATATTTAACAGTTGAACAGGTTTTATCAATACATTCAGGCACAACCGGTCCTTTAAGAGCATTCATGACCTTTGACCCAAAGCGAAAATTTGTTTTACAACCCTGATTTATAAGATTTAAAAAAGCAGAACCAACATTTGTAAAGGAAATTCAGCAAAGCTGTTAAATGTTTGTTTATCACTGTATTCAATATGTCATGTGATGTTATTTGTCTTGACATCTAAATTGAAAACTAACCTATCTCCATTTCCTCCTCAACAAACTGTTCTCCTGTTTCATTTCCTGTTTCATCTCCTGTTCCATCTGTTCTCCCCTGATTCTCCACACATGGAGTCTGAATTCTCATCAGTCCAACAGATTCAAGGATCTCCTCAAGGTAAGGATTCCCTTTTGCTTCCACCTGAATTCTCCACAACAAATCCATCCTACCAGCTTTCAGGAGCGCAACCAGAAGCTTTTTGAATATATCAAGCAGCGGGTAGCAAAACTCCAAAACACTGTGACCAGGAATTATCTCATCATAGAAAAATCCACCAGAGTGCAAACCAAACACCCGTCCAAAAGCATCAAACACTGGGGAGCCAGAGGAGCCGTGATACATGAAGGAGTTGTAGGTCACACAGTTATCTGCAACGGGATCTCTTTTGATGTTATACTTAGTTGAGCAAAGACTAACATGTTGAAGGGACGCTACATTCTGCTCGACAGCCTGATCCCTCTGCTCTTTCCTGATGATACATGTGATGTCCATTTTCTTCACTTGTCCTGCTGGATGACCAATAATACAAGCCCCACTATCATAAACAGGTTCAGGTACTGGACCAAATTTCTTCAGGAGACCTGGATGTTTTTCCTTTAGCTCGTTTAGATCAGGGATTTGGTCGAGCTCTAACAGAGCAAAATCTAAATCAGGAGTTCCACCAACTAGAGTAGCCTGATATTTCATCCCTGGTTTATCTTTATTTTCAAAGTTAAACTCTGCAGTAATATTCACATAGTTCCCCAAGTCATTTATTTTCTCCCAAGGTTTAAACAAGTGGGCATTGGTTAGAACAAAGTTGTCAAACAGAACAAAGCCCGTGCCCTGCACAGCTTTCTTTAAGTCAGTTAAATCTGAATTATTCTTCTCCTCTACGATCAAAAGACAAATGGACTCGCTGAGCTTCAGCAGATTTCTCACAGTGTGAACTTCACTAAAGGAGTCCTGGATCTTTCCAAAGTTCTCCTTTTTCAGTTTCAGGGTTTCCTCAAAGGAACGATCAGGAAATCTGCTCTCCATCAATTCCTTCAGTTTTGGGATTTGGTTCCGCAGAACCTCATTGATCTCATTAAGGTCAATTTGAATCTGTAATTCTTCTATTGCTGCCTTTATACTGACACCCTTTTGTTTTGCATGCTCTAGAACTGTTACAGTTTCTTTCGTCTTCAGTTCTTTAGTTGATGCAGAACCATTTTCCTGCTGCAGATCATGGCTGGTCTTTTGTGTCGAGTTTTGCTCTTTAACTACTTGTGATGGATTTGTTGCTTTTGTTTTTCTCTTCCTTGGAAGACATATCTGGAATTTCCTCTCATGTAGGTTGTCAACTATTTCTGTAGAGTTTGTAAAGTCTCCACTCTCATTATCAGACAACTTGAAGTGTGTGAGACCATCAACAAAGCGACCATCCCACCTTAAAGCATCTTCCACTGTCATCTCTTTTGTCCCATAAACACAGAAATACCTAAATTTCTGAGGAATTCTGTTACATCTAAAAATGAGATGTTTCTTTGTTTTGGTGTTTTCTCCTACTTCTTTATCAATGAAGAAAACAAAATAATTTCCCGTTAGTAGAGGTCTGGCCTCTTCTGGCTGTTTCTCAACAACTTTAGCTGATGTAGTTATTGTGAGACACTCTTCGTCCTTCACACAAGAACAAGGAAAATGTGTTGCAACAATGTGAGAATTATTCCCTTTACCCGAACTAATGATGATGTTTTCATCCGATATTTTTTTCTGTGTTCTCATTATATATTTGTTATATTCTTTGGGTTGCTCTGACTTTATTGTCTGAAGAACAGTACCTTGTTTCTTACAGTAAACCATGTATTCTGCACCATTTGAACCAAATTTGACTTTGAATTTATGATTATGGCCATCCAGCTGTAAATAAAGTAAACAATCAAAGTCAGAAAACTGAATAATAACAATAGATTAATGTAGAGAAATGATTCAAATGCCATGAAGCAAATTACAAAAACTCAAACCTCTGCAGTTCCATCTTCTATTCTTTCTTTCTTCACACTTATTGGATTCATCTGTAAAGAAGAAAAAACAATAAACTGCATGGTCCTGATACATTATAGACATTTATTTCAAATAAATACGCTCAATTCTTTAAATATGTGAAAAATGTAGTTCTATGAAATGTTCTTAATAAATCTCTACTTTTCTGTCATATACTATGACACATCACAGTTAAACAGAACAAACAAGACTGATGAAATTCTGTGACTGAAGGCAGCACCTGAACATCCAGACCAAACTTCATTAATTATGTTTTATAATTATACAGTTTAGACAGTTCCATCATGAACCAGAAGCTCACCTCATTCTCTGAAACTTCTGGTCTTTTTCTGGGTGTGCTGCTGGAACTACCAGGAACATCCTGTAAAGCAGATGGAAAGAAACCTCCATGCAGTTATTTAACATCTTACATAACTATAATGATCACTAATCAGTGAGAAAAGAAGATTGTCATCAACTCAGGTCTTACATTTGGCTTTAGTAAAAACCTTTTTATATCTTGCTGGTTTTCAGCCACTTTTTGCTTCTTTGGAGCCATTGTTTCCGCCAACACAGTGAAAAAGTTTTAATAGAGTCTGTTAACTATAATATGAGCTATTCTATCACCAACATGAGGGAAAATTACTCACCTTCAGCTTATAGTGAACAAGAAGTCAAAACTCTCTGCAACACACATCAAATATTAATTTAAAAAAGAAAATTTATCTGTTTCATTTGTACTAAAAAGCAGGTCAGGTTTAATAAGCCAGATTTGTCTCTGTAGAGATTCTTCTAGTTGTTTGATTAAACTTCTAGCTTACCTGAGTGAAGGTTGTGACTGTTTCACCCTGATGTTTTACTAAAGGCTGTAAAATGAAAGACCTCAGGGGCAATGGAGACACCTGGAACCTTGAATCACTGCAGACACAGGAGATATAAACTGTTTATTTTATTCAACGTGTGGAAAGTAAAATAATTATGTAGGATTGAAGTTTTTACTTTCATATTTTATGAAGTTAAAACAGCACCTACAGCCTAACAGTGCATTATTTATTCGTTCATTATGACATATTGTAGAAAACTCCAAAAGATTTACAGTCATGATTTGTGAAAGTGAGGCTGCACAGTGGTGTAGTTGCCCTGCAACTAGAAGGTCCTGGGTTCAATTCCCGGCCTGGGGTCTTTCTGCATGGTGGGTTCTCACCAGGTACTCCAGTTTCCTCCCACAGTCCAAAAACTGTCAGACTGACAGGACAAACAAGCATACACACACACCTTGGGAGAATTTAGAGAGACCAATTAACCTGATAGTTTTTGGACTGTGGAAGGAAGCCGGAGTACCTGGTGAGAACCCATCATGCAGAAAGACCCTGGGCTAGGAGTCAAACCTATGACCCACTTGCTGCAAGGCAACAGTGCTACCAACTGTGCCACTGCCAATAGTTTCATAAATGTGCCACTGCCAATAGTTTCATAAATGTGCCTCTGCCAATTGTGAAACAAACTTAACTCCATAGAAGTATGCCATGAAAGCATAGATCTTCATTTGAGAGCTGGCATATTGATCTCTGGCTTCAGCTGAGATCTTTCTCAGAGTTTCAACCAATGGTCCATTTCATTTGGGAAATCTAATAAAAAAAATTTTTTTGATATATAGTAATATATCAAATAAATAAATGTTAATTTAAAAAAGATAGATCATTAACAACAATCTTGAAAATAATGAGCTAACAAAAAATATTCCACATTCAAAATGAATAACTGAAAATCTAATGAATCTTCAGTTAAACTCAGGCAGGTGGGAACATAAAAACATAAAAATGTTCCCACCTGGCTGGCTTTATTCAGCACACACCCAGTTCCTGTAAATACGTGCAGTTCCTGCCAATGTTCTCATAGACGGGAAGAGATTAAAATAAATAATTTTTTAATCTCAAATTTTTAATTGAGATAAAAAAAAGGGTTTATGTTCTTATACAGCCTTGAGTAACAGATAAAAATATATGTCTGTACCAAATAATAACCTACTGACACTCAAAACTAGTTTTTATGTGAAGGTTGTTGCTAGCTTTTCCTTTTTTTTTGATTTCATAAAAAATCATAAAATACAGGAAGCAGCTGACAGATTAATGTCAGGCACAAAAAGTTGAAAAGAAAACCAAAATGTACCAGAATAAATATTTATTTTACAACTCAGTACAATTGATTTTTAACATTTTTACATACTTTTTCAGGCCATCTCTTCTAAAGACATACATTCAATAGTAAGCTCTATTCTGATCACAAGAGAAGAAATAAAAACTTTTCTATGAATGATAAGAAACATGTCTTACCTCAGCTTCTCTCTATCAGCTCTGCATGTTCCAGGAAGTGAATGAAACCTCTTTACACACTTTTCTGCCCCTCCTCAACCAGCCAAAGTTGCAAATGTCAGTCTTTATTGGCACATGTTCCAGTGCTGAGAACAAGACAGAACCAGCACAGGATGTGGTCACTGCACTAACTGTGCCTGAAAAAGCTGTTAGTAATATTCAAGAAACTCACCTACACATAACCGTCACATAATAATAAGCGATTAAGAGCGTAATATAATTAAAATGTGTTTGATAATTTACATGATGGTCATTAACACTTGTTAAAGTAATATTTTATTTACAGAGACTTCATAAACCATTTCATTTATGGTTTTGTGTGGCTTTTATTGTATTTATTATTTTTGGCTGTTTTTTATTTTTGATATTTAAAATATTTTACAGTTTCAGTGTTGAGTTTTCTGCAAAATTAAAGTTTCTTGATGTTTGAGATGTGAGCTTGAATTATTACTTGAAATGGTCTCAAAACAACAATATTATCAGTTATGACAACAATTACTGGAACAATTTATCCAGCAAAATGTGTTATTTTGACAGACTTACCAACAAAAACATAATTATTGAGACTCAGTATGTTGTTACACAAGTTATCATCATGATAGTTTATTATTAAAACAAGGGTTAGAAATTTAGCTTCAATTAATTAGTAAAGAAAAGAGGGTGCTGGGAAAGAGCATGAACACATGTCCACTGTTCTAAAAGCATAACATAAATTAAAATCATTCAATTTCTCAATCTTGAGGAAGTTACATATATCTCAAAATCATTTTAACATGAACTCTGCAGTATTTAGTTGTATTTAGTTGGGCCAATACTACAGGTTGAGATACTATGAGGTTGAGATACCACTCAACCTGGAGGATCTTCTTAAGGTCATCATTCTCAGTTATCATCTCCACAGTCTCCTCCAACATCTGATCATTTCCACTTTCCTTCAGATTAATCACAAACTTCTCAAATATACTGAGCAGAAGATGGGCGTACTCAATAACATGGTCGCCAAGACCATATCCTCCAGTGTGAATCCCAAAAATCTGGCCATGAGCATCAAACACTGGAGAGCCAGAAGCTCCATGATACATGAAAGTGTTGTAAGCAGCCACCTTTTCTGCTTTTTCTCCACCCATCATTATATCATCAATGCCTTGGTCCTTCAGTTCATTTACTTTTTTGACAATGACCCTTTGGTCTTTGTATTTAGCCAAATGATCCATGACAGCCTGTTCTCTCTTTTCTGGCTCATTGATGCATGTAGGATCTATTTTCTTCACACTTCCTGCAGGGTGTCCAATAAGACAGGCCTCTCCACTTCCAGGAAGTGGACCAAATTCGTTCAGCAGCCCTGGTGCTGAACAGGGCCAGGTAGAAGTATTTTTCTTTCTTTTTTATTTGATCCATTTGGTTCTTTCCTTGGACCCAAACAGGTGTACACTGAACAGGTTTTGAACAACTCAAGCTGTTCACAATGAGCATATATTCTGTTTTTTTCCTGTAAACACAGAAAAATCTAAATGATTTGGTTTAGTATCACATTTAAAGTTGTTTGTTTCTGTATGAAGAAACCAAAATAGTTTTCTTTTGGGAGGACTCTGGACTCTACAGTTTGTTCTTTAGTTCATGTAGTTTGTCAGACATGTTGCCGCCTCATAACAAGATGAAGGAAAATGTTTCAATAATGGGAAAATCCAAACTAATGTTTGTTTTATCAATATAAGGTATAGACTAAAAATCTCATCATGAGTCTGCAGCTCATATTATTTTATGAACTTTAAGTGTTTTCTTTATTGTGGTGCACAAAGTGATTATTATATTTTAAAACAAAAACTCTGCATCCCTTCATTATCCTATGGAACCAACAGTAAGACGATAGTAACACGAATCCTCCTGTGAGTTTAGACAATTGATATTCTGCATCATTGGATGATTAAATCTAATCACAATATTTTCCTCCTTTACTGCAGCACTTTGTAGACATTAGACTTTTACAAAATAAGGGCATTTACTCAATATGAATAAACTGAATGAGTGTTTATTATAATTTTAATTATAATTTTGTTAAAATTTATGTTGGACTAAAAAATAATATTGGTGATATTTTCATTACTGATTATTTTTGCTGCTGTAGGATTTACAGCAGCTTAAAATTAAAGTGAATGGTTCATATTACTGTTTATTGTGAACACAAAGTATTTCAACCCAAACGTGAAACTTTAACATCTATACTAAAAAAGGAGACATTTGATCAGAAGCCGTCGATAAACTGACAGGTTTCAGATTTATTTGTTGAAAAAGAGAAAATGCTTTTCCTTTAAATGACAAACAGTACAATGCAATCCAAAAATAATGAACAATGGAAATAAAAATCAACAGGTTATAAAAGTTTAAAATGATGTGAATACGGAAAAACAAAGACGTCCATAATGTAGTGATATCATCTTAGCAGTACAATCAGAAATACATGATTTCTGAAACAGTAATGAAGATATATGAAAACTGATTACATTTCATTCAATCACTGAAGAAAAAGCCAACCTATTTTGGAATAAAAAAAGTAATTTATACCCCTGAGAACATAATCTGAGAGATTTAAAACACAAACATGCAGATTCATGAGCAATTTCAGCTGCTTGTGTTCAATGCAATGATTACAACTAAGGAATGAATATAGTCAATGTAAACATGAGATGATTAAACAATAAAGCCTAGCAATAGCAATATGTTGATCAAATTACCATGAAAAATTAATCATTCAATTTTCAGCAAAACATCAGATCCAGATTTAATCTTTGGTATTCAGCAGTTAAAGGAAAACAGAAGACAATGTACTTTATTGATATTGAAAATGGGAAACTATTGGGCAGCAGCAGCATGACAAAAGGTTTGCAGAACATGAATTTATGTTTACTGAGTTAATTTTCTTTTTGTTCAGGGGCAAATAAACCAATTTCATTTGCCCCTGGTAGAGAGACCCAACAACCTGTTGTGCATCAAGGCAAGAAATACGAGGACAAGAGTCTCTGATCTGGTCAGAGACCCGCCTCTCGCCCAATTACCGGTGCAGAGGAACCTCTGAGATGTTGCAGGGATAGAAGGATGAAGACAATTAATTTATTGATGGAGGAGCATAAAATTTAACTGATTTGTTGCTTCTTCTGAAAAATCTGTTAGAAGACCAGAAGGTAAGAGAATATGCCTAATAACTTGTTCAGAATTCAGGTCCTGAAGTTGGATGGTGTGGAGTTGGATGGTGTGGAGTTGGATGGTGTGGAGTTGGATGGTCTGGAGTTGGATGGTCTGGAGTTGGATGGTCTGGAATTGGATGGTTTGGAGTTGGATGGTTTGGAGTTGGATGGTCTGGAGTTGGATGGTGTAGAGTTGGATGGTGTAGAGTTGGATGGTCTGGAGTTGGATGGTGTAGAGTTGGATGGTGTAGAGTTGGATGGTGTGGAGTTGGATGGTGTAGAGTTGGATGGTGTAGAGTTGGATGGTGTGGAGTTGGATGGTTTGGAGTTGGATGGTGTGGAGTTGGATGGTTTGGAGTTGGATGGTGTGGAGTTGGATGGTTTGGAGTTGGATGGTTTGGAGTTGGATGGTGTAGAGTTGGATGGTGTAGAGTTGGATGGTGTAGAGTTGGATGGTGTGGAGTTGGATGGTGTAGAGTTGGATGGTGTAGAGTTGGATGGTGTGGAGTTGGATGGTGTGGAGTTGGATGGTTTGGAGTTGGATGGTGTGGAGTTGGATGGTTTGGAGTTGGATGGTTTGGAGTTGGATGGTTTGGAGTTGGATGGTGTAGAGTTGGATGGTGTAGAGTTGGATGGTGTAGAGTTGGATGGTTTGGAGTTGGATGGTGTAGAGTTGGATGGTGTAGAGTTGGATGGTGTAGAGTTGGATGGTGTAGAGTTGGATGGTTTGGAGTTGGATGGTCTGGAGTTGGATGGTCTGGAGTTGGATGGTCTGGAGTTGGATGGTCTGGAGTTGGATGGTCTGTCCACACACTTTCATCTTTCTGATAATGCAGCTTTGGATAAGAGTCACATCTGCATGTCCAAGATGGTGATGTGTAAATGGTTGTTTTTTGTCTCTGAAATGGACTGGTTGTCTCATCACCATCTTCTGTGAATGTAGGAATTTAGCAGGTCTAGCAAATATGAACTGACATGTTAGTCTGATTAAATTTTTGAATCTTGAGAAAGTTAAAGATGTAGGTCAGAAACGTTCTAAGTGTATTTGGCCTGATCCACCTCCATTGGCTCAACCTGGAGGATCTTCTTAAGGTAGTCCTTCTCAGTCACTGCCTCCTTAACCTTCTCCAACATCTGATCATTTCCACTTTCCTTCAGATTAATCACAAACTTCTCAAATATACTGAGCAGAAGATGGGCGTACTCAATAACATGGTCGCCAAGACCATATCCTCCAGTGTGAATCCCAAAAATCTGGCCATGAGCATCAAACACTGGAGAGCCAGAAGCTCCATGATACATGAAAGTGTTGTAAGCAGCCACCTTTTCTGCTTTTTCTCCACCCATCATTATATCATCAATGCCTTGGTTCTTCAGTTCATTTACTTTTTTGACAATGACCCTTTGGTCTTTGTATTTAGCCAAATGATCCATGACAGCCTCTTTTCTCTTTTCTGGCTCAATGATGCATGTAGGATCTATTTTCTTCACACTTCCTGCAGGGTGTCCAATAAGACAGGCCTCTCCACTTCCAGGAAGTGGACCAAATCTGTTCAGCAGCCCTGGTGGTACTTTTACATTGTCTGGTTTGGATTTGGAGTTGGGTTTTGTGCCATCTGGTTTCAGCTGAAGGACAGCAAAATCCAGCTCAAAGTCAATGTCAACAAATGTTTTCTCAGCAGAGAAGTGAAAGTAATTTGTCTCTGGCTCAGGTTCGTCATAGTTAAACAGAGCATAGACTTCTACGTGATCCAGCAGTTTCTTTCCTTGGACACAGTCTTTAAACAGGTGTGCACTGGTCAGGATAAACTTGTCAAACAGCACAAAGCCTGTTCCCTGTGAAGCATTAGTAACAATGACTTTACAGACAGATTTGCCCATTCTGATCAACTTCTCAAGTCTATGAACTTCACTGAAAGACTGTTGAATCTTTCCAAACTTCTCAGTCCCGAGGTTCAGAGCTTTCTCATAAGAATCACCAGGGAACCTGCTCTCCATCCATTCTTTCAGCTCTGGAAACTGCTGACGCAGAAGTTCATAAATCTCTTCAGTGGAGCAGCCGCTGTTAACTGGCTCTTCCATTGCTTTTTTAACACTCCTCCCACTGACACGAGCAACATTTAGGATGGAGATTGTTGGGTTTCCAACACTTTCCCGTTTATTCAGTGGAAGACGTATCTTGAACTTCTTACGGTGGAGGCCATCAACCTTCTGTGTGTGCACAGTGAGGCGGTTGGGTTTTTGTTATCAGACAACTTGAATTCTCCAAGATTGTCAAGGAATCGGCCATCTTGCTTCAGAGCCTCTTCAACCGTCATCCCCTTTTCCCCATAAACACAGAGAAACTTGAACTGTTTAATGATTGTGTTTCTGAAAAACTCCTTTGTTTTGGTTTTCAGACCCCCAACGGTATCAATGTAGAAGACAGAATAATTGTCTTTTGGATGTATGGTTTTGTCATGCTGCTCCTGAACTTTCTCAATCTTTTCTGATATATAGTGATGTAAAATCACTGTCTCCCCATCACCAATACAAGAACAAGGGAAATGTGTCGGAACCACAAATTCCTTGTCCTGTTTACCCAACTGAATGATGATGCTCTCATCTGCATACTTCATTATCTTCTCAGTTGTGCCAAGACCGGATCTAATTGATTCCAGGATTGTACGCGGTTGATCGCAGCTGATGGTGTACTCTTTAAGTTCTGTTGGAGTGAGTTTTACTATGAAACGATGGGAATGTGTTGCCTGCAAGAAATCAGTGGGGAAATTTAACTGTGATTACAGAAATTAGGTTTAACAATTGACTGTTTTTGCAGATGATAGAAACTAACCAGAGAATCACTTCCATTCTCCTTCTTCACTCTCATTGGTGTTTGTGTCAGAGTCTAGGGAAAAAGTAAAGCAAAGGGAATTGGAATTATTTCAATCTCCCTAAATCAGTCTTATTCAGCATTTTTATTTCTGCTTCAGTTTTTACAATTGATCAGTTTAGTGATTTTGTAGATGTCCATCTGTCACTGACTCAAATAAAAAGACAAGGGAAAAACAGATGAATAGTCGTTTCCATTGCGCAATTTGACATTTTGAAAACAAGATTGAGGTGTTTTTTTTTTCAGCTGCATCAAATTTCACCAAATTTGGTGGTACATTTCTAACTGCAATAGAAATGTTTTATCCACATCATAGGAGTCACATGGTCAACAACCAGATGAGAAGCACAACCTGGAAACGGTGCTGTGCTTTTGGCAAAACCGAGTTTTACAAAGTTTTAAAGGCAACAATAACTGGGTACAGCAACGTATTTTATAATGTTTTCAATAATCACTGTCAGATTACGCAACAGTATTAAAAACATCTTCATAAAGATTGCCAAGAAGGAGTTAACTTTTGTAAATATGTGCTTGCATTTCTACATACAGGATGTGTGTAGAAATGCTGTTTGCAGCAGCCGTAAGCAGGCAAAGCTTAACGGTCCTTTTGTCCTTAAGACAATAAGCGGACATGACACAGGATGTTCATAGTGGACACTTTGAGGAACCGCCATATTAAGATCACTGGGACTGAACTCCTGCTGCAGAAATACAGATCAACCACTGCAGTTTTTAATTTATGATTTGGTCACGATTGCCCCATTGCAACAACAAAGGAAGGAACTAAAAGACTTTGAAGTGTGGAGGGAGATATTATAGATATTATCACAATTTACCTCAATTCACTTTGTTTATATTCTCAACAAATATCTCAGACCAGTTTCTGAGACAAGAGAAAAGAAGCAAATTACAGACAGATTGAAATTTGTCTACATACTTTCTAATAATACAATTCAGCCAAGTTCAGTTTACTAAGTTAGAAGGAGGCATATTATACTGATTGTTTATGAACTTGCAGCTCACCTGGGACTTTCCACCACTTTTTGTTGGTGTTTTGAAGGAACTGCCAGGAACATCCTGTTAAAAGAAGGCAAATGTGTAACAACAGCAGAATCCTTTTCAACGTACAACTCCCAAAGTCAAGGTCATAAATATTAGGCACCGAATAAATAAAAAAATTGCTTTGTTAAACCAGCGTCTTACTGACATTTTCCTTCCCAAAGTAGCTTCTGATGTCTGGCATTTTTTCTGAAGTCTTTCGTTTTTTGGGAGCCATTTTGATGAGCTGTGAAAACGACAAAGACAGAATTGTTAAAAACAACCTGAACAACTAGTCACACAATGAGAATGAATATTAACTATTTGCACTTTTGTTTAATCCAAATTAAGTCAGCGGCTCCATTAGGAAAATACAAAAAGGGAAAACTTATTCTTTCAAATGTCCAAATAAAATTAGTGTCTTTTTTAAAACTGTATTAATTGAAAAAAAAAAAAAACAAGTGGGAAAAAAAGCCCTGATGTGACTCACAGCTCCCATGACTCACATCAGGAGTCATACTGGGAGGGTTTAAGCTCCCAGTAAGAGCGGGAGATTAATTCCTCATTAGCTGTCAAGCCCCAATAAGGGCGCCGCTGTAACTTAGTAAGGAGTCCAACCTGCCATAAAAAACACTGAAACTGATTTTAATTCCCCCCCTATTAGAGTGAATGACTCATGCATGTAAAGTTGCATTTTGCAGGGGGGTTTGAACTAAAAATCCTAATATTAATGTTAGTTAATGTTGTGCAGAAACATTAGCTGCTGCTGCTGCAGCTCCAAGGGAAGCTGCAGGTCAGAAGCCAACTTCATGCTGTCTGGTTGTCATAACTTCACACCACTGAGTGTATAAGCAATTCATTACATCAACAGAAATTATACATTTAGAAATTACATCATTTTCCCGTTTTAAATTTAACATAACTTGTTTTTTTGTCCCATGTTGTTAAATATTTGAACATTACTTACGAAGCTTTTCTGCCTGGAAACTGTTGTTGGCTTTAGATGTTGACTTTAGATGTACAGTAAAAAGTGAGAAAAATGGCGTAAACAACGGAAGGAATGATACCGACAGCAGTGGAAGAGAGGTCCGAGAGGATTTATGGTTGTTAACCGGCAGACATTAACCCACCAGTGGGTGTTCAGTCCCGCCGTGGATCCTCTCTCTACCCTCTCACCTGCCACTGATCCAATGTCAGCTACTGAGAGGGGATTTAGAAAATGGCGCCATGTGTCCAGAGCCAATCATCGACGACTACGTTTTGCATGGTGCATTCAACTACGACTGGGAATTCTGAAACTAAAAAGAACAAACATCCATTTTAAATCAAAATTTTATATAATCGGTTTACATGTTGTTTTTTACGTTTGCTAGTTTCGTGTATGTTCAGCAAAGTTAATTTTCTCCGTACCGTCAAACTAGAGGTGCGAATCCAAGTTGTTGTAAATTTCCTGTTTCTGATTTTGTTTGAACTCAACCTGGAATGGTTTCATTTCAGTCCACAAAACCTCGCAAGAGTAGTTTCGCTTTTTTTGTAGGGTCTTTGGTGCAAAACTGATCAAAAATCGATTTATTTACTGCATGCTTATGTCTGTTAAGGTTAATATGGAGTTTCACATGAAAGCTGCTCTTTAAACTACGAATGACTGATTATTTCTGATAATAAATTAGAATGTATTTTTATTTATTTCCTACTTACGGAACGTTTCTGTTTATATCATAAGTTTTTTGTGCCTTTCTATCCTAAAAGGAAAAATCTCAAACTTCAGATATTTCACAAAGAGACATTAAGATTGATGAAAAAACCTCACATAACCTTATATTAAAGCAGAAAGTACTGCGGCCACCATAAGAAAGTATTGAATTATGCCGCATAACTGACTGTACAGTACTGCCAGGGGATGCAAAAGAAAAAAAAATCCCCATGTCCCCAAGGGGGCGCTGTGTTTTTTGATAAGAGTCATAAGATTGTTGGACTAAACTGCATGCATTTCATATGACATACACTTTGAAAATATTTCAGAATTATTTATTAAATACAAATTCAGATGTTTTGGCAAATAAATATTTCATTTGACAACACGGACATTTTTGACACTTTAAAATCAAACTTTTGTATTTTTCAGAGTACTCATTCTCTGTGTTGATGGTTTAGGACAATAAACCAATAATTTACCTGTGAAATTAACTTAAATGGACAATAGTTAAATAAAACATGAGCTCCAAATGAAACATTTAAAACAAGCAGACCTGAAAACATAAAAAGCTTTTAGGAGTAACCAGAACCGTTTGGACAGAGAAGTCCTGATGTAAACACTGTGCAGAGAGCTTTAGATAAATAAAGCAGAAACTCATAACTGGAGTCAAACAATCCAGCAGCAAAGAGTGCAAATAAAACCCAATTAAACCGAGATAATACAAGATGAATTAATGTTTAATTTAAACAAAACCTGTTTGCAAGAAGCAGTTTAAGAATACTGGATCTGTGCCTGGAGTTTCCTTTGTGCGAGCAAAGGAAACTTGATTTTGCAGCAACGTTTCAGCCCAGAAGAATTAATCCAGCAGGAAATTCAGCAAGAGTTCAGAACAGCGGCCTGAAGCAGTCCTTTTTGGCGCTGACTGCAGATAATCCTGTAGCGGTGTTCCTCAGGGCTCTACTCCAGGCCCAGAGAGAAGTTTATCCCATGAACGATGCCGATGATGATGGGTTGCCAGGCGACTAAGTACCGCAGCCAGTCGAGCAACTGGCCGTACAAAACGTGGGTTTTCTCCCAGCTGGAAGCAGGAGGAATTAAGGAGAACAGCACAGAATACCGGCTCCACTACATCAGGATTAAAAATCAATTATTTCAGGATTCCTCAGTTTTTATTAAGTAAGAACAGACCGAAAATGATTTATCTTCAGGATATCAAGCTTTTAAACTCAATATGGTGTAAACTTTTGTGTAGCTCCTAATGCAAGTGACAAACATATGTTTGTATTTATTATTCTTACTTTATGTGACTTTTAAAAAATAAAATATTGTTGAAGGAAACTTGTGGAGCACAACTTTCAAGGATACGGGTTGTTCATCATCCTCTTCAGGTCCACCTTCTCGTTGCAGTACGGACACGTCTGCTTCTTACCCACAATGCACCAGCCCCGGATGCAAAACTCATGGAATCTGGCAGAGTCTGAGTTAAGGCTGACAGGCTCCACATGGAGAAAAGGAGCGTTTCCTGACCTGGAGTCACGTTCCTGCTAAGAGAAAAGCCTGAAGCAGGAAGAAACGAGAGCAGCAGGATACATGTGACCACAGGAGAGCTGGAAGGTGTCCTCTATAAATCCCTCCTCCTCCACCTCCACCAGGATCCTCTGACCGCACACGGCACAGATGTCTCCACTCAGGCTCCTGCTGGGCATGCCGCCCTTGTTGTAGTACTGAAGGCACACAGATGGGTGTTTCAGTATTCTACAAATAAGACCATCAAAGTAATAACCAGAACATGATATGGGGCTACTTACATTTTTCTCTAAACATTTATAGATATATAAAATGTGCTGATTCTGCAAGCTTGAGGTAATTTTTTGTTATTTTCTGCAGAATTTTTTGCACTTAGAGTAAATATTTACTCAGACTGGACGGTTTTGTGCATTAAAACCATGTTGGGTTGCAGTGAAATGGTCTCTGCTGAAGGCAGAGCGGCTTCCTTTACCCCGATCGTAGAAGCCATGTAGTCAGAGCAGATCTCTGCAAAGTCGCGGCCCATGACACCGTAGTAGAGACCGTAAAACAGCATGATGACACCCACGTCCATGGAGTCCTCCGCCTTGATCCTGCACAGGCAAACAAACAGGAGAAAGACGAAATGTTTTAAAATAAAGGTAAAAATTACTGCACTTTATTGAATTAATCAGTTTTTCTTTTTATTGTACCTCAAACTGCAGCTGATGCATTTGCAAAATAAAAAAAGACAAAGTAAGTTTCTTTGCTTTCAATTCACTCAAATTTCAAGATTTTTATGTAGTTTTAGAACACTGTGCACATTACTGTAAAACATTAACCTTATACTGGTTGAATGGTTGAAAGATGTTTTTATCTACATGCATCAAAAGTAAAGGGAAAGCTGGGAGACATTTGCTTCTGGTGTTCAGAGCTTGTAATGTTGCTACAGAGATTTTCTACATCAGGACAAACTTTGATCACCTCTAATTCAAAGTGAGAAACTTCTTAAATAAAGGCTAGAAAGTGCAACACTGAATGCAGATTCTTTATGGTACGGTTTATGAGCACAACAAATCTTATTTTGTTTGAAACAACTGAACAAAAACTATAATCTTTAGTGCTTTGCTTGACATTTTAAAACCAGTAGAAGACCACAGGTTGGCCTTTTTTCATCTTTGAATGATATTTAGTGAGACAAAACTCAAAATAACAGTGAATAAAATGGTAAAATCAATGTGTTGCAAATCAAAGAGCAATCATGTCAATTTAACTTTTGAAAACTATTACATTAATAAACCATTATTATTCTGTCCTGTAGAAAATATAAGGTGACATGTTTATTTTCATCAGTCATTTACACTTAAAAACTAATTAAAACAACTCAACACCTGTTGAGAATCCACATGACTTGTGTTTTTGCTTGGTTGTGACTGAGCTGACTGACCTGAAGAAGACGTTGAAGCCGAACATGGTGAACATGATGGCCAGGTAGCCCAGGACGCCCACAGCGTAGCTCAGCTTGTAGATCAACAGGAACCACTTGTAGACCATCCTGGACAGGAAACACAAACACGGCGAATAAAAACAATTCAACACGTCAACACAGAGATCCATGTTTATTCAGGTTTCACAAATAAAACTGAGAATTTTACGTTTCAAAAGCCTCACACAGGAACCTGGAAGACATGGTTTAAACTTCCTCCCTGCATCCTTTTCATCTCCTCTGAGATTTGGGGTCAGAGTTCAGGTATTATGTGAGCATTTAAGATGCTAATCAGCTGCTCCTGGTTGTAAAAATAACACTTTGTTGCCATGATTACACTTCCAAGCAGAAACTTTATTTCTTCCGTCTGTGCCAGACATCTCCATTGAAGTTCATGTTTCTGTCTTTTTGTGTTTAGCTCTCATGTTCAACCAGGCACCAAGAGCCTTGCTTTCAAGTATGGAAGCTGCAGCAGCCAAAATACTGCAGAAACTCCATGACAATCATCATTTATTTATTTCTGATCTATTGTAGTCGACCAGGTTCTCCTCTTATTGTTAAATCTGTAGGACTCGTTTATTTTATCATTAGTAGTTTTTAGCTCTCGTTCTCCGAGTCGGCCTCCTACCTGGGGGTCCTGCAGGACAGAGGCTTGCGGGTGGCTCTGAAGATGATGTAGCTGGTGATGACGGAACATCCCCCACATGGACAGGAACCTCCACCAGTACAGCTTGATGGTGAAGTAAAGTGGGACCACCCACATCTGGACCAGAGTCACCAGCTGGAAGAAACAGAGCACATCACAACTTCACTCCAAATCCCAAATCTGGCAAAACTTTAGCTAAAACCACCGAGTTTTTATATTAATCTGGCTTTTAGGATGTTTAAATGGAAAATTTTGATTTTTTAAAAGTGGATTTTGTTAAGAAGCCACCAGTTGTTCCTTACTGACCTTTGGTTTTATTGAAAGGAGTTTACAGATTACATAATAACAGACCTTGAGGTCAGAGGCCCCATCTGGGTCGACTTTACAGGTTTGTAAAACAAACCTGTAAAGATTTCTTCCTGATGAACAGAGCAGCTTCCTCACCCTGAGTACACCATACCCATGGTGAAACATGGTAGTGGCAGCATGATGCTGACACCATACTTTTCCTCAGCAGTGGAAGCAGACATGAGCTATTTAGCAAACATTAAACTAAATTCCACTCATAGCATATAAAAATAGTAAATATTGACTCAGGGGCTGAATATACAGACATGCCACACTTTTCTGATTTTTGTTGCAAAAAAAAAAGGATATTTCAAGTTTTCAATTTTCTTGCACCTTACATTTATTAACTACTTCATGCTGGTATGTCAGGTAATAAAATAAATTGAAGCGTGTGGTTTTGAGGAGACGAAACGTGGAAAAGTTTGTCAGAAAAACCACCAGGTGTGTTTGCGTTTTCATGGAGAGCAGCTGGATTTG